GGCCTCGGCCTCGGGGCCTCCCTCCTCGCCTGCCCGGCGGGGCGGTGGGAGCAGAGCGCCAGGCTGCCCGCGGGACTCTGGTGAGGCTCCTGCACGGAGGCGGGAACCCAGCAGGGCCTACCTGTTCTCTCCTCCATACCCCTGACCCACGAGACGCCTGCCCTGCCCCTCAGGTCCCTGGGTTTGGCGAATTCTGCTGAGAGCGAGCAGGCAGAGGACTCGCCAAAGCTTCCAGCTGGCCTCCTGGAAGAAGGTCACTTTCTTTTGGGCAAAGGGTTTAATGGGAGGTAACCCTGCCAGTGTTCGCCAAGCGGCCCGGGTGGCAGGAGCCACGGGTGCTCCGGGCGGGTTGTGGCACCTGGGGCGGGTGGCTTGCCCTAAGCTTGCTTTGACAAAGGAGTTTTGAGTTGGTCTTTTGGCTGAGCTTGCCAGGGAAGGCAGGCTCCTGCAGGAGTCTTGGAGGGTCCGTGCGGCGCCGGATGAGGCTGAGGCGTGGCTGAAGATGCGTTTGGCTCTGCAGACACTGCATCGAGCAGCAGGGGACTCTGGGAGGCTGGTGCAGCCAGAAGGCATGGCTCTTGACAGCCTTCTAGTAGAGTCTCTGGAATTGTGCATGTGAGTGGGGATGCCATTTGGGGTACCATTCCCAGAAAGCCCTCACCTCCCTGGTTGTGTGAGGTACCCCCTCTGTGCCCACAGCCCCAGTGCTCTCCTCTGGTTTCACTCCCCATTCTGTGATGAAACATGTTGTTGATGTGTCTATTCCTACACTGGACTGTGAACTCCACAGGGGCACAGTCTGTGTCATCTACCTGGTCCTCCACACCTAGCCCAGGGCCTTTCTTTCTGACATGGAGTAGAAAGAACTAGGTGAATGAGAGAAGGAATCTGTTGAGAACCTGTGCTTATTATAACCCAATTTTGATGCTGGTCTCCTTTGTATCTCAGATCACAATAAAATTTTTAATTAATGAAAATATCACTACTTACTGAGTGTCAGAAGCCCCACCTTCACCCCCATCCCCTACCCTGGGCTGCAACTGCTTCCAGAGGAATGGGACTGCCCAGGTTGGAACCCACCCTCCACTGGTCTGACTTCAGACCCTGAAGCTGCCTCCCCTCCTAGCTTTTTCTTTCTCCTCTCTGAGAGTGCTGTTATCCAGAAGGGGAGAGTGGGGGAAGGGAGAGCCAGGGAGCTATTCTATTGTCTTCTCTCCTCATTCAAACCATACAATAATACTTTAGGGTCCCCTGCCATTTAGCCAGTCTAAAGTATTCATGGCCAGAAAGTTTGGATGATGGCTTAATCATTTAGTTCTTATTTAGGATGCATCTTTCCTAAGAGCTATAACCTTCACTAACATGGTACATTCCCAACATGTTCTTACCTACAACACTGCTTAACCTTCCATTTCATTCATGCCAGGCATTTACATGCCTTACTTCTAATCTTCCCACCACCCCTGTATCTCCTCAGCATTTAGCACAAATGTGATGAGTTAACTTGGTATAATTATTGGTCTGCTTTTGCTACATAAACTCTGAGTGTGCAGGAACCATCTCAGTCACCATTATATTCCATGCTTGGTGATTAACAAATGTTAATGAATGAACTGAAGGATATAAATACTATTACCCCTTTTACAGATGAAGAAACAGAAACTCAAAACAACTAAACATTTGCCCAAATCTCCCACTATAGGTCTCAGTGCACCCCCCCCCCCCCAAAAGGGTCCTGTGGGGGATTTAACACAGCTTTTTTTTTCACTGTAGCCACAAAGAGACGAAACAGATTGACAAACTCTCTTCTGATTGTGCCCAAATTTTTTTCTGGGGAGGGGGGGTTCTGTATGCCAGAAGCAGTTTTTTTGTGCCCCGGGAAAAGCACCTGCTGAAAGGATCAGTCATTGCTCTGCCCACAGGCGAGGATCTCTGCTCCCATTGCCATTTATAACCCTGTCTTATGTACACAGAGTGGGTAAGTAAAGTGGAATTCAGTGTTCTATGCTGAGCTGAAGCCTGAGATGGCAAATCAGGCCATTTCCAGTCCACAGTCAGGTTCTAATGCCCCAAGTCACACATCGTTTTGTTTCTGGTTTTGTTTTGATTTGAACTCAAACTGGATTTATGCCATCTCTTAAAACTCTAGAAGTCTGCTGCTGTGGCAACTGCTGCTGCTGAACCCACATTTCCACAAAGGCAGTAATCTGCAATCTCTGAATGGTCTGCCCTCTTTAGCATGTAAAGCGCACCTGATTTGTGCCAGGCCCTGGGCTATCTGGGGATGCAGAATCAAATCAGACACAGTGCCTGCCCACAAGGGGCTCAGGGTCTAGAGAACATGTGTATAGTAATTGCGATAAGCTTTGCTTCCTGAGTTAAGGTTCATAGGCCACTCTGGTTTCATCAAATCTCCTCCACTCATTTACATAACATGTACACATTTAAATGCAGGATCTTGAGCTTAATTGGGATCCCAAAGTCTACTTCCAATTGTTTCAGGCCACTAAACTACATTGTTCTGTTCACTAAGAACCCAAATCCATCTGGTAAAAGATTTATTTTGTATATTGTAAAAAAAAAAATAATTAATTTAAAGAACCGAAATCCTCCCTTACTTCACAAGAAGACAGTTACTGCCTTATTAGCAAAGGGGAAAAAACTTGCAAAGCAGTTGAAGTAGGCATAAGAAATAGTGTTCAGTGTTACAGACTTGGGGTGAACTCCAAGCTCAGGCTCTTGGTTTTGTGACCCTGGGCATGTTCCTCCCCTCTCTAAGCCTCATCACCAACTGTGCAAGAGAATGTGAAGCAACCCACATAGCACCTAGTACATCAAGGCTCACACAAGCTCAGGAGTCAGAGGTAGTGTGCGACAGGAGCTGTGCCACATGCCCATCCAAAGTCAGTGTTCTCACTGCCAGCTCTGCTGGCTGTCTTTAGGTTTCTCTTGGACCATTCAGTTTGTAATCCAGATGTGCACGCTCAGTAGACCCCCAGGAGACTTGCTAGACTGTAAATCAGCAGTTGGTGGGGGTTGAACTCATGCTGCCCTTCCCATCTCTGCTCCCCCTATAGCATCCTCTGGGACTGTGCCCAACCTAGTTTAAGGGGACTCTGGAGATATGGTTCCCCCACTGCTCAGAGTTTAAAACTTGCTCCCTCAAGGGACTGGAGCAGATAATCAGTCAGCGTCTTTATTAAAACCATCTCATTATGTTTAATCTACTCAGCAAGCATTATGACCTCTGTGCTGGGGTCTTTATTCAGGACATACATACCCAGGGACCTCCTCCTTAAAATCACCGCCTGGACATTTTCATTGCATGTAGGGGGAAATAATGCTGAGGGGGGATTCCTGCTGCCTCTGGTTCTTCTTTGTAAGCCCATAGAAATTCACTATGTAAAAATGCCAAAAGGCCTTTGAAGATAATGGCTTACTCGCCAAGATTTTTAAAATTTTAATTTCTTTAAAACATCCCAGAGCTATAAGCTCAATATCTAATTATTAGATGGACTATTAAGATCCTAACCTTTACTTACTGAACCTAGAATTTGTGAGGACGGGGTGATGTTTTAATTCATTTCTGGGGTATTTATTGTGCATCGTCCTTATTTGCTCAAAAAATGGCTGTTAAACTAAATTATAATAAAATAAGTAAGTTCCTACCACTTTGTTCTTACCTGCTCCTACTGCTGGACCAGGCTGGCAGTCATTCATTTAGGTCCATTGCACACACCATGCTCAGTCTTCCTCTTCTTTGACCTGGGCGCGCATTTATTCTGCAAACACAAATAGACACCTGATCTGTGCCAAGCACTGGGCAAACTGGGGGTGCAGAAGTGAATCAGACATGGTCCCTGTCCATAGGGGCTCATGGTCTAGAGAACACATCCTATATAATAAAAGGCTAATATGCATATCGACCAAATGGCAGAACGACTGGTCACTATGACACACACTGACCACCAGGGGGCAGACGCTCAACGCAGGAGCTGCCCCCTGGTGGTCAGTGTGCTCCCATAGGGGTAGCGCTGCTCAGCCAGAAGCTGGGCTCACGGCTGGCGAGCGCAGCAGTGGTGGCGGGAGCCTCTCCCGCCTGGGGGGGTGGGGGGTTAGTGCTAGGGATGTTAGTGCTAGGGACAGCGTCAGTCGGACATCCCCGTTGGACATCCCCTGAGGGCTCCTGGACTGTGAGAGGGCTCAGGCCAGGCTGAGGGATTGCCCCCCCCCCGCCCAGTGCATGAATTTTGTGCACTGTGCCTATAGTGTATAATAATTGCAGTAAGGCTAGAAGAACATTGCTTCCTCTGCATTAAGGTTCAAATGCTAGTTCAGCCTCTTGGTTTGTTTTTTCATGTATAAAATGACAGTGATGCCAGGCTCACGTTAGGGTTTAGCCCGTACTGCATGTCAAGCACTGAGCACAGGTGGTAGCTGTGATTATTATAGATGCTGGATGCTGAGGATGCACAGACGTGGTAGGCTTTTCAGAGTGCCTTCAAGGTTGAGGAGAAGTTTCTCCTGAGGACAAAATGGGAGAAACTGTCTAAACAAAGGAAGCATAATAGAGACCCAGAGGCAAGAAGCACCCAACTCATGGGAGAGTGACAAGAGGCCTAGAATATCTTTAAAGAATGGGGCATCCCAGGGAGGAGCAGGAATAGAAACAGCCTTAGTTTTAAAGAAACAAAAAACAAACTTTCCCTGCTTCTTCAGTTGTTTCCTTATTACTGATATTCTGCAACTGCTAATCTTCCTTTATGTATCAGAACATTTACCCATGCCTATCTTTTTGTTTTTGTTAATCCTCACCTGAGAATATTTTTCCATTGATTTTTAGGGAGAGTGGAAGAGAGAGGGAAAGACAGAAACATTGATGTGAGAGAAACACATCAGTTGGTTGCCTCCTCCACAAGCCCTGACCAGGGCCCAGGTCGAGGAGGAGCCTGCAACCAAGGTAGGTGCCCTTGACCGGAATCGAACCTGGGACCCTTTGGTCTGCAGATTGACACTCCATCCACTGAGCCAGACCGGCTAGAGTGACCCATGCCTACTTTGTACTGCCACCTCTACTGAATGATTGGGATGCATTGAACTATGGGACACAGGCCTTGCCCATGGAAAGCTCATAGTGTTGTGGAGAGGTAGATTTCAACAACTGGGATACCTGTGATAAGCTCTGTTCAAGATGTATGTAAAACAAGTGTTAGGGCATTCCAGAGCAAAGCAGTTTATTCTGCCTATGGTCTTAGGCAGATATAACACCCAAACTGATCCTAAAAAGGAAGAGGCAGAGGGAAGTGTGAGTGAGCGCTTTGTGGATAATGGTTCTTTGTGGCAAGGTGTGCAGAGCAGACAAGGACTGTACTTATTTATGTCCCAGGAAAGGCCTTGTGTTTGCACCCTTTGGTTCTTTGCCCTGCTGCAGTCCTATAGGCCATCTCCTTTTTAGTCCCTACTCAAGAATCTTAGATCTCCAGCTCTCCTTGAGGTTTGCCTCCATTCTGAAATGAATATAGGGAAACTAAGGTAGAAAGAAGGGACCTGAAACAATGAAGGTTCTTATTAGAAAGTTGTAGCTAAAGAACATATTCTGAGGGGTTCAAAGAGGC